GGGGGGGGAAGGAAATGGGCACGAGCCTGACATCACAGAACACCTTCCTGATCTTGGGCTCACTGTGCCCTAGTCCTTTAAAAAGTGGTCACACAGCTGGGCAGCCCCAGATCTCAAACCCAGACCCCTGCTGTCCTGGCCAGGGCTGACAATCAACTGCTGTCTGTTAATCCTGCTCGGGCCTGCAGGCACCCAGCTTTCAACTTGCTGGTATAGGGGAAGCCTAGGATCACAATCCCAGGCTCCTCCTGCACTGGCAAATAGTAACGGCAAGACTGGGATCTGATCCCTAATCCCCAAAAATCACACTTCCTGCTATGCACATGTGGCATGGGAAGAGGTACAACTGTAGGGACTGGAGATCAGATCCCATTACACCATTAAATGAATGTGCGCCAGGGGCCTAACTAAGAGTATGGATGCATGTACATCTGGAACAGTTTTAAAAGGGCAGCAGATGTTACATTCTAACTGTTACCTGTGGTCAAGCATGAAATGTTACAAATACTGTATACCAAAACTACTCATTTTACACTGCCTGAGACAGTTAAAAGTTGGATCGGCTTTGGTACACTTGTATGGTTCCTGGCTTGCACGTGGGTAACAATCAGACTGTAACAGCTGCTGCCCTTTTGAAACAGATTGGAAAGCTGGGCTGGAGCTAAAAGTATGAAGTTCAAAGCTGACAAATGCAGGGTGCTACACTTTGGGAAAAATAATCAAAAACAGCAATAGAAAATGGGTGACCCCAGGCTGGATGGCAGCACTACACAAAAGGCTCTGGTACATCACGGACTCAATGAGTGCGTTTGGAAGTGCACAGACATTTGGTTCCTTGGGGACAAGTAGCGGCGGTGCACCTTGCGCCGCCGCTACATGTCCCTGGGGAATGCCCATGCCACATGCGCTTTGGTGCATGGCAAATTACCCCAACTTCAAGAGTAAGTCTAAAGACTGAACAAGTCTGGAGACTAAACTATACTCTCATGCTTCAGCTCCAGACAAAGTCACTTGCAAGTTACTGTCAGGAAATATGAATGACTTCTCACTGCAGTGAATCTATTTTACCAGTACAGTTCTGTGTTTTCAGCCTATTATATTTCCCTCCCCATTTCTATTTAAAGCAGATAGGTCACTATCCAGTTTGCATACTTTTAAAGTTGGGTATGACGAAGGTACTGACTGCAGCCTGCACTATATGTTTGAACATTATGTATAGAAGTAACAATTATTACAGTATAATCACAATCCAAGCTTTCAGTACTACACACAGCTTCCTTCTACCAATCTGGGTTACCTCCACTGGAGACTTGGAAGTCACTAGCGCCCCCTTGTGGTGCTGCCATTCTGTGCTTTCAGTAGACAACTGCACTGACAGATTGAGGGGAATTTCCCACCTGTAGTACATCCTGATTTTTCCCTTCCACAACTTTGTTTTTTGTTGGTTACAAGTGCTGACTAAGCCGCCATACTTCAGCAGGAATGCTAGTTATAGTGGTCCTAGGAACACCACACTGTCACAGTGGTATTTAGTAAAAGGTACAAGTTGTAGTTTATAATGGAAATGGAAACTATTGACAAAAATGATACCTTTATGCAGCCGACGAAATGGACCAAGGGCTGTCACACTAACATCATTTTCTGTTGAAACTTGGTTGAAAAAAAGTCCTCCTTATCTGTCCTCAGGCTATTAAACATAATAATGGGATATAAATGGCTAAAAACACTGATTTTTAGAATGAAGTTTTCAGAAGTGGCAGCAGCATCATTCTTTTCTGAACTGTCATTTGTAGAAGTCAGATGGTGACACATTAACCCTAAAAAAGTGTGTGTGTAATTACCTTAATGCACAAGAAGTCCCACAGAAGCCATGTGCACAAATCTTTACAAGATTTACAAGCTCATTCAACAGATATCAGATTTGTGGACAAGACTATTGCACAAACACCTCTGAAAATTCTAAAGACAGTGAAGTCTCCCTTAAAAATGCTAAATAGGGCTTACCCTATAGTCAAGTTTATCAGTTTATATATATTTTTGTCCGTAAGTGTCAATAAATGAATGACAATGACTTGCTTTGTGCTACAGTAGATACAGAAAAAAAGTAAGAATATACACATTTGACACATAGCAAAGAACAGATCAACAACTGATTCTCTGTATAAATGCACCTAAGTGACTTACCCTTTTTGTTTCTCAATAATTACTGTCTCTCTTTGACCAATGTGGAAGTGGAATATAATTACGTTTATCTCAATGAACTATTATAAAATTTATTTTAACTTTTATTTGTAAAGGAGACCTTTGGATGGAAGTAGTAATATTATTTTTATTCTACAAAACTGATTGTGGTAGAATTCTATAGATTTTTTTACAGTACCTACAAAGAAGGGAAAACTAGCACTGCCCTTCTCAAACCGTTCAAAACGTTATGGCTCTCACTACCTCATCTAACAAAACCGTGTCAGTCCACATTACTGATCTACATTCACGTGAGAGCTTTCTCTTTTCTCTACTATCATGAGGAATTCTCAGGAACTTCACTAATCTTATCCTTTTGTCCATGATTCCATGAACAAGAACAGTAGATTTTATTTTAGGAAGCGGAAGAGTGAAGGAGACATGCCATATTTAAATTTGATTTGTGTGCTGCCTGTAATTTCCAGTGAGCCACAGGAGTTGGTTGATGGTGACTGTATTCCCACTTTTGCAGAAGTTCATCATCAGCCATGCATTGTTTGAAGTGTTGTTCTTTTTATAAAGGTGACTGTAAAAATGCCACAGTTGGGGTTCTGCATGTTATTTCTGGGTGATCAATAGACTGAATTTGTTTGGTTTACAAGTAAAAAAACTGCCAGCTCTGCAAACTCAGTCTGAAAGCTGTGTTCTCCTGACTGTGTTCTACTTCAGCTCTAATAAAGGTTCTGTAACAAAAGCTTAATCAACAAGTCTGCTGATGTGCAAACTAAAACAGAATCCAGTTTACTTTGTGATGCTACAAGCAAAAAAAGAACCTTCTTGTCAGTGAAATCAGAAATAGATGCAACTCAAGGCAAGCAACATAATAAGGAAGGTGGTGCCATGCCAGACTTCAAAGCAAGATGCTTAATATTTTCAATGTATTTATTAGCAGGTTAATGCCCATGCAAACAGTTTTACCTTTTTGGAGTATAAATATAAGTTTGGAGTTCTGCCTGGTACCGGAATGCCAGCTTTAGTCAGTTTTATGAAATACTTTTGCACCCTGCTGGCAACCTAGGAAAAAAAAGAAAGGGTATAACAACTTTCAGGTCAATGTAACTGCCAAACAACCTAAAATATATACATTTAAATAGCCATTAAAAACTATAGTGTGTGTGAAGCTTTTTTTTAAAAGACAGACTTCCATAAAAGACAAAATTTACAGAAGTTGAAAAGACATGTTACTTTTCTGCAAAAAAAAATCCTTTTTTTTCAGTTGAATACAACAGTTAAGTTTCTGATTTTGAGATTTATCAGAAGGAATTACAGACCTAACCAGTTCTATTGGTGAAAACAATAGTTTGCTTGCCATTCCACAGTGCAGAGGAAGAAACTGCTCTCCATAATGTCTCCTGCTGCTGAGAATTCAACTGAAACCTTTACATTCACAATACAGGCAGTCCTTGGCTTAACAACAAATGGCACTTATGACCTTTGTAAATTACAACAGTGTTTTGAGGTTCCAACAGGGTTTCGACTTTACTATGTTGGACACAGCTGCATCCAGCTAGTAGGTCTGTTGTAGTGGGGCATGGGAGGGCAGCTCAACACCCCTGCAGTGAGGGAGGGATTGGGGCTGGGGCTGGATCTGCTCAGCAGGCAGGGGGGTTGTGGTGGCTCCTGCTACTGCACGCTACCAGTCTGGGAAGGTATGGGGGAGGCATATGTCCCCAGATCTGTGCAGAGTGGGCAGGGCTGGAGCTCTGGTGGGTTATGCTCCAGGCTGGCAGCAGAAGGCACTGGGAGCAGCGGCTATGCCCACCTGCTGCTCACCTAGCCGGGGCACGGTGGAGCTGCTGCACTGCCTCCAGACAAGCAGTGCACAGTGGCCGGAGCTGCTCCAGCCTCCCTGTGCCTCCTGGCCCCACCCTGCCCCAGCTGGGCGACCAGCTGTGGGGCACAGTGGGGCATGGGCCTCCAAAGCCGTGCAGGCTGTGCTCCGGGCTGGCAGCAGAAGGCACTGGGAGCAGGGGCTATGACCTCCAGCTGCTCGCCCAGTCGGGGCAGAGTGGAGATGCTGCACTGCCTCTGGACAAGTGGTGTGCAGCGGTTGGAGCTGTGCCGGCCTCCCCGTACCCTATGGCCCCATCTTCCCCTGGCTGGGCAAGTGGCAGCAGGGCATTTGGGGGGGGGGGGAGGGGGGTATGCCCCCAGATCTGTGAAGGGTGGGCTAGGCTGGTGCTGTACTGGGCTGTACTCCTGGTAGGCAGCAGAGGCTATGGGGAATTTTAGGGTGGCTGCAGCCCCCATAGCCCTGCTTTGCTGCCAGACCCGCCCTGATCCAGGGGCACACCCCCCCCCCCACACCCTGCTGCTGCCACTCACCCAGCCAGGGTGGGGCAGGGCAAAGCTGTGGCTCGTCTGGGAGAAGCGGGGAGGCCAGGGTGGCTCCGGCTGCTGTGTGCCGCTTGTCTAGAGGCAGTGCAGTGGCTTCACTCCACCACAGCTGGGCGAGTGGCAGGAGGGCATGTCCCCTGCTTCCAGCGTCTTCCGCCGCTTGCCTGGAGCGCAAACTGCCTCAGCCTTGGCCCCGCCCTTCCCGCTTAGATCTGTGGGCACATACCCTTCCTCCACC